AAAGGTTTTTCTAGCATTAGGATACAAAGACAACAAGGTTTTGTAAAAGTGGATCTCTGTCCTTATCCATTGTTTCTTGAATAGAGATCTCAGTCAGGATGCTCTCTCTGACTTGGTTGATGATGAGATTCCGGAGCAGAACTCATCACCCCTCACCCCCAGGTATGGTCAACTCRCAGAATGAGGGACAAGAATTCATATTACTAAATAATTGTAGTAAAATCCAAAGGATTATATCCTTTTCCAAAGGATACTTAGTAAAGCAAAATATAATAAAAAGGTTTTATTGTTTAGGATATTTGTATGTGTATGTGATAAAATTTTATTGTTTGTATATGAAAGGGTTTGGGTGTGTGTGTGTGTGTGTGTGTGTGTGTGTGTGTGTGTTTGTATTATTTCTTGAGGAGGATCTTTTATACACTTGGCCCTGTTATGGAAGCTTGTTTTATTTAATACCTTCATTATGGACAAGGAAGCCCAGGCACACAATAGCCAAAGTAACCTTCCTTTATTAACCACCTTGCTCAAGATCACACAGAGCAATTGTAGTCCAGCGCTATTTCCACTCATCACTGTCTGTTATGGTTTGGATCTAAAATGGCCCCCTAAAAGTTTGTTGAAAGCATGGTTCCTAATGCAACAAGGTTCAGAGGTGGAACATTTAGGGAATTATTGGATCGTGAGGGATATAAGCCCATTCATGAATAAATTCATTTAATAGAGTAACAATTTGAAAGGACTACTGGGCAGTAATTGTAAGCAGATGGAGCATGGCTGGAGGAGGTGGGTCACTGGGGACTTGCCCTGGAAGGGTTTATGCTTCCCCACCCTTTCGCTTTCCTTTCCTCTCTTCCCCCTTTCTCCTTTTCCTTCCCCTCCCCTTCCTTGCTGCTTTCCTCTGCTACACCCTTCCACCACAATGTTCCACCTCACCTTTGGCCCAGACCAATGGAGTCAGTTGACCAATGGACTGAGATGTCTGAAACCATGAGCCAAAACAAACTTCCTCCTCTAAGTTGTTCTTGTCAGGTATATGGTCACAGTGAAGAAAAGCTATCTCATGCTGTCAAGTTAGAATTGGGGTTTTAAATCTTYTATTTCTTGCTTTGTGCCAAGGAAAGGATGAATTAGAAATCATTTTTGAAAACAGAATGTTGGTGCATTTTTCCTTCCTATAATCTAGGGGCCTAAAAAGTATCTTTGGGAAGATAGAAACATCAATTAAATCTTATTCCTGATCAGGCAGCTGTTTTACAAACTGTTACAATCTCAAACCAATCCTCAACATGGGAGAGTTAAAAGACAATTGCTGTTAAGAGACACTCTTAAGAAATGGAACTGCATAAACGGATTGCTACACCATGTACAGGCCCCCAAAGCAGAATAAAATGACAAAGCCGCATTCAAGCTATCACAGCCTAACAAATGGGTTAATGCTAACATGAAGTGGGTTTYGTTTGTTTGGTTTTGTTTGTTTGTTTGTTTTTTCTTTGTTTTGGTACTAGGTTCAACCCAGGGGTACTTTACTGWGCTACGTGCCAAGCCCTTTTTATTTGTTGGGACAGATTCTGGCTAAATTGTTGAGGTTAGCCTAAAACTTGAAATCCTCCTTCTTCAACCTCCTAAGCCTCTGGGATTCCAGGTGACTAAATGTGAAATTTTTATTGGTCTTTTGAGAGTGAAGAAATAAAAGAAATGCCAAGCCTTTTAGGCTCATCCTGGGAGGGCCTAGAAGGCATCTGCAGTAGACAGAGGCAGGATGGAGACTAGAGGCTGTCAGGTAAAAATTTGCTTGCAAATAGAAATTTGAACTTTCAATAACACAGCAAGCAGTTGTGCCTAGCAGCTGTCTCAAGGAACTGTGGTCACTGGAGTTTCAGTAAGAGTCTGTCTGGAGCTTGCTCACCTCCTTCCTCTGTATTTTCAGATGTACTCTGGGCACCTTTAATCTTCCAATGACATCTTTTTCCTTCAGTTTCCAAATAGATATCCCATCTGGAGAATTATTAAAATAGAGACTCCTGTAGGGTCTAAGGATAGGCAGGAGAGTGGAGAGGGTAGAAGCAGCCTCCTTGCTGTGGCCTCCAAACCCTGTAGGATCTCTACCTTTCAGGTTTCATCTCCCATCTCTCTCTCTCACTTGCTGTTTCTTCTCACAGATGACTCTTTTTTGATAACATTAAACTCATCTGTGCTTCAGGATATCTAAGCTTATTGCCTGGGATGTTTTTTTTCTCCAGATACTAGCATTCAGGTTTCTGATCAAGACGCCTCCCTAGATAGACATTTAAAAAAACCATTCTGTATGTTCCTCCAACCCAATGCCAGTATCACCAAACTGTGGTACACTGTCCAAAAGCATGTATTAACTGGTAGCTTGGTTTATTTACTTGGTGATTTGTCTCAGACTACCATGAAAGTCCTGAGGCAAGAACATGTTTCTCTTGTTCATCACTCTAGTACCCAGAAAAACTTGGAACATAAAAAATAAACATTCAAGCAATATTTATGAATGCATGATCTCTCTGAAATTGTATGCTGAAGTATGTATACATACACAGATACAATCTCCCCTGCTAGGGAAAATCCCTAGATTTTATTAAATTAAAACTCACTAAACAAATTATTATGACAGAGACTCTGGGGACCTGCCATTTGTCACCAGTATGCTCCTCAGACCTTTACTCATAAAAATAAAATCTCAGACCTCACCCCAAACATGTTAAATCTGAATCTAAACCTTTGCAATAGACTTCTCCAAYTCAATGAAACCTTAGCAAGAGTCTCAAGTGATTCATATATGCACATTAAAGCTTGAGAAATACTGCTCCAAATACAGTAAAAAATTTTAGCCAGGGCTTCACAGTCTTCATTAGTATTCACTGGATACATTTTCAAGAAATAAAATGCTTGTTAAATATTCAAACAGAAGATTCTATAAGCCTTTAAGTTTAAAATGGAGATGTATGCTTCTTACAAATTTCTTGTTTATACCATATCCTATTCATCAATGTACTACCTTTGAAAAATATTATTTGAGTAAATGACCTAATTATTATAACCTCCTTCATAAAAGTAATCTGCTTTGTTAGTTCTTAACCTTGGCTCACACTGTAATCACCCCAGGAATTTAAAAAATATTGGACTGAGTTTCACTCCTAGAGATTTTGATTAATTATCTGGGATATACATTGAGCAAGGGTAGTTGAAAATGTCTCCYAGATGATTCTAATACACAGCCAAAATTGAAACCCATTATATTATATAACATCTTCTCCCTCCGATCATTATTTGGAATGCATTCCCAAAGATGGGTAAGAAAGAAAGGCCAGAAGATCCTAGTTTGATGGAATTTTCTTTTCCCCTTCCACCCTCTTGAAGCCTTCCTGTCTAGAATTTGGTAACTGATGAGAACTTTGAGCAAAAAGTTAATACACTGAGGTTAATGGAACTGGTGAAGATGATTATACTAAGGAACTGAGTAAAGCTAGATAAACTCAGAGCTATTGAATCATAACTTGAGTCTCCACTGTAAATTCATGGTTTTTAACATAATTATATAGATGCATTCAAAGATAGATAATCTCTCTCAATAAGGTTAGGATTATGAAACACAAGGACAGGCTGAGGAATAGTTATTGGGGGTCTCCCCTTGAAAGACACTGTGTGTCCCTGCCCTTTTCTTCTTCCTCTTCTGCTTTCTGACCATGAGGTGAGCAGTTTTTCTCTGCCATRGTGTGCTGCCTTGCCACAGGTCCAAAGCAATGGGACCAACTGATCTTAAACTGAAACCTCCCCAACTGAAAGCCAAAATAAACTTCATTGCCTTATAAATTGATTATCTCAGGTATTTGTKATTATCTCAGGTAATAGAAAACTAACATACAGAGAAGAAAGTATGACCCCATTTCCCCCAACTCACATATCTCTTCGTTTCCCTATTGGTAGGGTCTGGGTGTATGTTATAATGTATGTCTGGCCCAGAAATAACATGACTTCTAAGAATCTTATCAGAAAGGATTTGTAAATGTAAGAATCCTGTACTTGTTATATAAATTCAGATTTTTATTATTGGATTTGCTTGAATCAAAATTATTTGTATTAGAGGCTGGGACTGCAATTTAGTGGTAGAGCACTTCCCTAGTATGTGTGAGGCACTGAGTTTGATTCTCAGCACCACATATAAATAAAATGAAGGACTGCAGGGCTCAGAGGTGCATGCCTGTAATTCCAGCAGCTCGGGAGGTGGAAGCAGGAGGATTGCAAGTTCAAAGCCAGTCTCAGCAAAAGCGAGGCACTAAGCAACTTAGTGAGACCCTGTCTCTAAATAAAATACAAAAAATAAGGCTGGGGATGTGTCTGAGTAGTCAAGTGCCCCTGAGTTCAATCTCCAGTACCCCCCCTCCCAACCCCCAAATAAAATAAAGGTCCATCAACAACTAAAAAGAAAACTTAAAAAAAATATATTTGTAGTAAAGATATAGCTCTCGGGCTGGGGATGTGGCTCAAGCGGTAGCGCACTCACCTGGCATGTGTGGGGCGCTGGGTTCAATCCTCAGCACCACATAAAAATAAAATAAAGATGTAAAAAAAAAAAGATATAGCTCTCACATTTTCAACAGATTTCTATAGCACATCTTTGCTCATAAACTGAAAAATTATGAGGGCTGACCTAAAAAATAATTTYTAAAAAACTAGTTTAAAATTCTCATGGTCCTTTCACCAATGTCCTGTTGATTGATGCAATAAATCACAACTAATGTTGCTTTAACAATAGGGCACAATTCTGGATATCATTTGTGTGTGAAAATGATATGGAATTTGGCTCTCTTTGGAATATCAAATGCTGAATAGCCGCTGGAGTCCAGTAGCCTGTTATGAAAACAGGGTGGAGGAGTGGGGGGGGGCGGGGACRGGTGGACCCTTCCTATTGGACAGGGATATTTTGCCTGGTATTTGTCTGGTTTTCACATAAAAGACAGGAACCAYTGAAGTCAGTCCCCACTTCCAGTCGTAGAGGTCAGTCAAAACAGAAAGAAAGGAAGATGGCAAGAATAATATTACTTCTCCTTCTGGGTCTTGTGGCTATATGTGCTGTGCATGGAGTATTTATGGACAGACTTGCTTCCAAGAAGCTGTGTGCAGATGACGAGTGTGTCTGTAAGGAATTTTTCTTTTTTTATGCTTTTCATTATCTTTATATTATAATATATATAATATATATTATATAATATATTTATAATTATATAATATATATAATATATATTATATATATATTATATATATATATCCAATATATCCACCAACAGCACAAAATCGAATTGTACTTCCAAGTGAATTTTCTTCAATGTCTGTGTTATCAGCATTGCACATCCTGGTCTGTGCTCTTGGGGTCTGACTATGGAGAATTCACTTTTCTAAGATTTTGTTGCAGCACTAATATTTTGGTTCACTTACTCTTTGTGAGTTGAACCCAGTTGCAAACTGGGATGTGTGAGTCACTCTGATTTTCTAGGTGTTTTTTTTTAACATGCTTATAAAATGTAGTAAATTCAATTTTCTTTTCTTCCAGATACTATTTCTCTGGCTAGTGCTCAAGAAGATTACAATGCCCCAGACTGTAGATTCATTAATGTTAAAAAAGGGCAGCAAATCTATGTTTACTCAAAGCTGGTGAAAGAAAATGAAGCTGGAGAGTTTTGGGCTGGCAGTGTAAGATGAGATTATTAAAAACATACACATATCTTCACACATGTTGCTCTTAATTTTTCCACAATTACCTGTCTGAAACCTATTTTAATGCTTAAAACTGTTAAAAACAATTGGAAATTGTAAATGCAAAAATTCAGGTGTATTGCTATTATTGCATTTTAAAGAAACAAAGGTAATTTCATAACAAAACCAAAGGCAGGTTAATGTGATGTTTTGGCAAGAATAAAACCATAAACATTGGGACTTGGACATCCCAAAGAGTTTGAATCTTATTCAAAAATGTTCCAGAAAACTTGCCAAGTAAAAGGTATGTGTGTTGGCAGTTAGTCTAAGTTAAAATATTCTTTTAGGAAACTTTAGTACCCACTTTCATTCCAAAGAATCTGTTTTCTTCAGTTAAAATACACAGGGCCAGACCCTGGGGAGAGATGAAGCAAGGTTGGTTTACATCTTGGTTGGAAATCCCAAAGAGGTTCTAAGGTAATGAAGAATTAGATTGAAATACATTCCAAGTATCCTTTCATTTGAATTGTTATATACTGAGAAATAGATATCCTTTAAAACAAAAGTATCAAGTAAATACTTTAAAAATTACTGTATTTATTATTATTATTTATGGATTCCTAAAAGATTTCAGGCTTAGCTGCTATAAATGAAGTTCCAACTTTGACTGAGTTCCCTGGAAACCAGAGTGAAAGGGAGGTGCTGGTAGTTACGAAATTCTTTTTATCAGCAAAAAGGATACCTGCAGGTTTTGCCCTAACTGATCCTCTTTTGGGTATTCAGGTTTATGGTGATCATCAGGATGAAATGGGAATCGTGGGTTATTTCCCCAGCAACCTGGTCAAGGAGCAATATGTGTACCAGGAAGCCACCAAAGAAGTTCCCACTACGGTAAGCATCTCAGAAGTGAACATTAGAGGTCTCAGATCTTGGGGTAATAATATAGGCTGGTGCTAAAAATGCATCATGTGACCTACAAGATGTGTTGGAAAAGCCCTCTATTTCCAATGCCAACTTGCCAGAAATAGTGAGGCTTGGGGGGACATTTAAATCACCTATTTGTATTGAATATTAATGCAATTCTTCTGCAACTCCCTAGCCCACCCCTCTTTTTAAAAGTTTATTATTTTTGTTTTAACCGTATTTTTTTCTGTGTTATTGGGGATATAACTGACGAGTAACAACTGTGTATATTTAAGRGGTAAAACTTGATGTTTTGATATACATATGAATGGTGAAATGATCATCACAATCAAGCTGGTTAACATCTGTTACCTCACATAGTTACTTTTGTGTTTATATGTGTGTATTTAAAGCACTTCAGATCTACCTTCTTAGCAAATTTCAAGCATACAATGCAGTACTCTTTTGTTTTATATGTGAATCATCCTGAAAGGATTCCATGTCACAAAGAAAGAAACTAAAATAATATTAACTGACTCTCACTGACAGTTTACACATATTTATAAAAGACAGATGGGGGGGAATTAGTACCTGTTTTTTGATAAAAATCAAAAAATTCTAGAAAAATCTTTGAATGCCTTATTTTTGTGACAAATAGACTCAACTTAAGTATGAAGTACATTCATACTCTTCCCAGAGCCCTGGGGTCTGGTAAACTCATGGCAAAAAAAAAAAAAAAAAAAAAAAAAGGATTTTTCTGAGCTGCTTTGCATGATGGTTGTTTTGAAGAGATTTTTCCCAAGGCTAATTACTGTGTTTCAAACATTGCCTAGCCTACACAAATACCACTCACTTGTCAGCGCTTCTTAGGACTAAGCTTGATCTGTCAAATAACCATAAATTAAAAGTTTATTTGAGGACTTTCGTTTTAAGCAGCTTTTGACTTGAAGTGGTAATTATTTTATATTCTTTGGGGTCTGGCCTTTATTTCTTTTAAATCCAGATTTCTCTTTGATTGGATATGATTTTAAAGAAAGAACTTATATCTGTCTTCTGGCCCAACCTGCTCAGTTCAATCTTTTATTTCTTTCTCTCTTTTTCTCTTCCAGGATATCGACTTCTTCTGCGAATAAAAAATAAGCTAAAACTTCAGATAAAAAACGAAACACCAAAAATGAAGAAAAAAGCCAAAATAACAAAGAAGTGCTTGTCTCTAATTTCTGACTTTTGTTTCAATAGGGGCTGGGGCTTGGGTCTGGAGGTAGAGTAAAAGAGGATTTTTCAACTCAGCCTTTTTTACTGTATGCATGGTTTTTCCACAAACAGGACGGAACAGGGCAGTGTTTACTCAAATGAATGAATTGAAACTGAAGAATTAATTTTCGAACTAGAGAATCTTCTTTTACGTGGGAATGCATGTAGAAGATGATTTATTTCTAATTATTTCTAGATAGTAATTCTTCCCAGCTCTTTGACACTCTGTACTTAAACTTGGTGAGCCCTAGGTTTTACCTTTGGAAATCATGTTTCCTAGTTATTTGTCTCTCTGGCCATATGGAGCATTAAGAATATATCTAAAGGAATTACATTATTAAGGAGTATTCTAGTGTTATTACTTTTTATAATTGATCATTTTGGATGTGAAGTTGTTGGGAATTTTAAGAAAAGAAGTTTTTGGACTCAGATGTTTGAACTATGTCTCTGAACTTTTAAAATAGTTTCACATATTATTTYGATTAAATAACTTTACCTTTTAAATAATCAACTTACCTCCCTCCAAATTTGAATAACTATATGTGTATATCTGTATGTACTATAAGAGGGCAGTTTATGGAAATAACTGTGTGTGGTGTGTGTGAGCGCGTGCATGGGACCTCAAGCTTGCTGGGCCATTGCTGTTCCACTGAGCCACATTCCCAGTCCCTTGAAGGTTTTCACTCCTTCCTTCCTTCCTTCCTTCCTTCCTTCCTTCCTTCCTTCCTTCCTTCCTTCCTTCCTTTCTTCTCATTACTGGAGATTGAACCCAGGGGCACTTTACCACTGAGTTACATCTCCAATCTTTTTTATTTTTGTATTTTGAGACAGGGTCTCACTAAGTTGCTTAGAGCCTTGCTTAGTTGCTGAGAATGGCCTTGACCTTGCAATCCTCCTGCYTCAGCCTCCTGAGTCACTGGAATTGCAATTGTGTACTACTGCACCTGGCTTCACTACACTTTCAATGGAACAGTTTCCCCTTAATAGTGCTCTCACTGATGTTTCAAGCTTCCATTCATCAAATGACAAAGCCAAAAAATGTCTGTGGGCTTTTTCTCTACTTCTATTTCAATTTTTAATTTCTTCTTTCTGTGCAGATTCCTCTAGTCAAGTATGATGTGTCAAAAATATCTGATGAGGGGATACAGATTTTGTGGTCCTGAAAGGCCCACAAGTTTTTCTATAGTTAGCTGGAAATCTGCACTGTAATTGTGTATCAGTAATGTCATTATTTTGATTTACTTGTGAAGTTTTATTTGTTCATATGTAATTTAAATCTAATCTGCTTAAAAAAGAAAGTTTCTGGGATTTAAAAAAAAAATTAACATTTGACCTTTGGATATGCAGACTGTTTGGGAATGGAATAGCTTTTCAGTTTTCTACAGTCTGGTCATCCCACAAGCGTGAAGAAGGAAGCAGAAGAGAACATTTAAGGCAAGTCAGAGTCTTGGGCCAGGGTCATTTTTCAGTTGTGTACACTATGGCTTTGAGTGAATGCTGCAGTCCGGCTGGGCAAAATAACCGGGAGGTGACAAGCAACTTAAAGGTTGAAGCGGGAACTGCTTTATTACGGGGAAACTCAGCGGGAACTGAGCGGGAACTCAAGGTAGCTGGAACCCAAGATAGTGGAACCGCTTTATTGTGGGACAGCAGAGGTATATATACCTAACTGATTACACACAGCTTGACTCAATTAGCATCATTTAGATACAGCAATCAGCCAATAAGGAATCCCCAGGATCTAAATGGCTTGGTAGCGTTGCCTCACAAACCACTCCTCCTGGCAAACTGCCAGGCGCCATCTTGACTTGATTTGCGATCCCCAACAAGTGAATGTAATTTTACCAAATTTTTACGGAGGTCATTCAGTAAAATAGCACAAAAAAAGAAAAGAGAGAGAGAGAGAGAGAGAGAGAGAGAGAGAGAGTAAAAAGGAAAGCAAAAAGAAAATCTATAAAACACCCACAGTTTACAGGACTCTAGCTAACTTTATTTCATAAAAGTTTTCAGATATCATCTGGCATCTAGGGCACAATTTTAAAACAGATATTACTCCTACTTCTGTTTCTTTCTGCCTCTCAGTTGCTGGCTCCCCTTTGCCCCTTGAGACACCCCACACCCTCATTTCACCATTCATCTGGCCTCAGGCTTCCAGGCTCACTCCCATGCTTAGGGCATCTGTAGCAGAATTCCCACTCTGCTGCTATAACATGCTAGATATTTTACTGATAAAAATCAAAGGTACTGATGCTGATCATATGGAATTTCTAAATCAAATATATTTGTGACACTTTCCAGAGTGCATACACTTTTGGAATTTTATATCAAAATCATCTGAAATTATCTGAAATATTCCAAAGTCATTCCACAGCAACTCAATGAYGTGGTATGAAATGTATGAGTACAATTTTTATTATAATTCCCAGTTCTGCCCACAGCCCTTTATTGGCACTATGTGCCAGTTAACTACATCCCACCATGTTTTATAAGAATCCACATATTAGATATTATGTAAAATTTGCTTACCTGTGAGATCTATAGGCAGGTGGGTGTGGGCATGCAAAGTTCTCACATCTAGGCTCAATGAAGTAGGATTGCTTCCCATGAATATACCCATTCTGGAAAGAGCATAAACAGCAACACCTCTGGGAAAACTGACCTCAAAAAGGGAGTGTCTCCTCACAGTATGAGAGGCTTGGGTTTCCATACCTGATGGCACTTGTGGCAACTGTAGTGCTGTGAACTGTCCCTCTGCTCTTGTGATGTTGGAAGTCCAAGTCCYTGGCCACATACAGTAACAGCCTAGGTGGCCATCAGGAAGAGAGGACACCTCCACTGCCCATAGCAGCAAGTATCCACCTGGAGATGAAGGCACAGTGTCTTCTACTCTTCCAAATGAATATGCACGGATGTGAGGTGCATACAAATCAGCAGTTTATTCTGTCTAGATGATTAGATRTTGGGTATACCTTTTTATGTTATATAATTCTATAAATAATACAAGCAATTTGAAAAAGTTACATTGGATTGGTTTCCCCAAATTATGTCAAAATCAACAGAATACATGTCRTGTAATATGGATCATTGTAGGTTTCTTTGGCATTATTTTACATTGTGAGGAATAATGGCCAAGCTTTTTATTTTTGTGACCACCCTCTATCTTCCYATTTCACTCATTTACAAAGTGAGAATAATAATGCCTTTGGGGGTAATAATAACTAACTTTGAACATAATTATGAAGATTAAGTTAAATAAGACACTGTAGGTATCACCTAGTGGAATGCACCATCCACAGTAGGTTTGTAATTAAATTTAAATAAAAAGTGAGACAACTTTAAGTTTTTTGAGACCTCTGAAAAACTGCTTTTAAAAGTAAATTAAAGTATATCTTGAGCATCCTTTAATTCCAGAACACTAATTGTTGGGAGCTGCCCTGGATGCAGACCTTCAAGTCCTAATGCCCTGGGCACTGACCAATTATTGCCTTTAGTCTGGCATGATAGTGCCAGATTGCAATAACTTGGGTGTTACCCCAGCTCAGATAGCAAGGTGTGGCTCCAGGTATAGGCATCACCCATGGGAGTTGAGCTACACTCACCTGTTCCTTTGTAATCCTACCCCTTGCTTCATTTAAATGGCTTCTCCCCACTAAAAAAGTTCAGCATGTGCTCCTTGCTCTCTTTTCTTGCCTGCCTTGTCCCTCTTGTGGGAGCTGCAGCTGAGGAGCGGTCATTGAACCCAAAGAAAAGGTACTTTCTGTGTCTATGTCTTTATTTATTCCCCAAATTCACTTGGAGTGACCCTGACTGGTTTAGTCGTGAGACATGACAACTTATGTCAGTCCTCAGATTTTTCTGAAATTATCTACGAGGCAAGTTGCAAATACATGCTGCAAGCACAATGAGGCAAGCATGCATGTGCACACACCAGCACTGGTGTGTGCCTACACGTGAGCATGACAAATGTTATTCTTCAAGTCTGGGGTGATATATCTTTCCTGACTTCATTATTGGAGAAGTGTCTGGTGCTTTGTCAGATTTTTCTTTTAAGCCTTGGCAAAAGAGAACAAATCAGGGAGGTATAGTTCCTTTACAAGCACCCTTATGTTCCTACTTTGTCCTCTCCCTCTCACCCTCTAGGGTTCTCCAAAAATGTTGCAAATGGTAGGGGGCATCCGGGCCTCACCCTGTTGTTCCATTCCCAGCCAATAATGACTTCAGCCATTCCTCTGAGTGCTTGCCCTTGGGATGACTAATACATAAGTGGCCAGGAATCCTTTTGAAGAAAACCTTTATCCTGCAGAAACTATTAGCCTTGACCTAATTAATGGGTCTTTAGATCTGCAGAAAACCTCATTTTCAAGGCACTGACTTTTGAATTTCCTGGCTACTTCCTGGGAACAAGCATTTAGCAAATGACAAGAAAGGGCAATTTAAAGCAGGGCTTTGGTAATCTGTGAACACATTGGGAGCTCAATCCTGAAGATAAGGTAGCATAATATGCTTATTCCTGTGGTAATAAATAACCTTCTTTGTTAAAGAGTTGTCTTTTGTTCAAGGAACGAATGGTTAGGACTGCTGTTTTGCTTTTTTGCAAAGCTGTATGAGGTAAATTAGAAATCAGAACCCCCATCAAATATTAAGACTAGAGACCCATCCTTTAAATTCCTGACTATGAATTCATAAGACCCTTTCCAAATCAGGTCTAGCAAGGTTTTTGTTTGTTTGTTTGTTTGTTTGTTTGTTTGTTTGTTTCGGACTTTCTGTGTCTGTGAAGCAATTTTCAGAAATGGCAATTTACAAGTAGACTTTTATCAGAAACTTCCTGGTGATGGCAGGTCTCTTCATTTCACCACCCACTCCCAAATGCTTTTGTGAAGACACTGTTTGCATGAAAAATTTCTGAGTCACAGTTGATTTAGTTCAGTGTTCACAATGAACAAGGCAACTAAATCTAGCAGTAGTTTTCTGGAAGCAAGGTTTTAGAAAAGCCCTCTACATGTCATAAGTGGAAAGAAAGATAATCTTAAGTCAGCCTTGGGCTGGGGCTGTAGCTCAGTGGTAGAGTGCTTGCCTCGAATTTGGAAGGCCCTGGGTTCTATCCTCRGCACCATGTAAAAATAAWATAAAGGTATTGTGTCCATCTACAACTAAAAAAAAAATTTTTTTTTWWAAAAAGAGTGTCAGCCTCTTTAGCGTCACCCTTTCCTGACCTTAGATAAATATGGCCCATTATTTCTTCTCATGTTTATCGATAGAGGGGGTGTATATGCCCTCATGGATCAGATTCAAGGCAGGGAAATAGTAAGCCTGTTCATGTAGTATTTAAACAAA